CAGAGAGTCCATGAGGACAAAACAAATAAGAAGATAGAAGATAGAACAAATATGAAACCCCAAACGGAACATGCCTGAGAGAAAGTAAAATATATCTAAAACAAAGATACACCAAAAGAAAACAAGGAAAAAAAGTATTTGACCATCTCCAACTAAAGAAGGGCCATATGGCTCTCTTTAGCCCTATAGCCCTCCAATAAATTATATTTTAATGAAAAGTGTCATGCCATATTTCATATCATCTCCAACTGAAGGGGCCAAAGGGCTATAGACCAAACATAACCATGTGACAAAAAAACCATCTCCAACTGAGGGGACCAAAAGGCCATAGGCCAAATATAATTTAGGGCTGTGATATCCACACACCACATTTTACTTCTCACACACCTTTTTAATTTTCGGCCGTCGGATCAGATGAATTGAAAAAGATCAACGGACAGAAATCATCAAGGGGTGTGTGAGAAGTAAAATGGGGTGTGTGGATAGCACACCCCATAATTTATTATTTTAATTGAATTAATATAGTTAATTAAATTAAACTACCATATTAAAATAAGATTTTCAGACATATTGGAAGATTATTGAAAGAGGTGGTCATTTGAAAATTATTGAAAAAATTAAAGGAAAGATTATTGGAAATAGAATGTGAAGAATTGAAATAAAATGAGGTAAGATAGTATGGAATGGTGAAAAGTATGTGAGAAATTCGTCAAAAAAAAAAAATTTGGGTTGGTCTAAACAAAATTCGTCAAAAAAACAAAAAGTGGGCTGGGCTCATCGGACTGGCTGGAGATGGCCAGCCCGCTGGCCTAATTTGGTGGTTTTGGCTCAGTGGGGCCTACAAGCCCTTTGGCCTAGCCCTTGATTGGAGATGGTTTTCGTGTCATTTCGAGCTATTTTAGCCCTATGGTCCTCTAGCCAGATCGGTTGGAGATGGCCTTAGAAACGAGGGACGATGATTGCATAAGAATTGCTTGAAAGTTGGAGTGTAGGATGAGTACTATTTGAAGCGTCAATACGACATCTCCAACCGGGCTGGCCAAAGGTCCATAGGCCAAAGGGTAGTCCGTTTTGACATAAAATCCATCTCCAATGGAGATTTGGGCAAAAAAACCTTGGGACCCATCAGGCCATAAATCCAGCCAAATGGCCATCGGGTTGGCCAAGCATAGCCAGCCAGCCAACCCGTTCAGTTGGGCCCAATTGTGTTGTTAGTTGATGTCATGTATATTTTTATTTTTTTATTTTTTGTTTGTTTTTTTTAAGACGATTTTTTTTTCTTCTATAAATACCTAAGCCATTTCTACACCATTTCTCACATCCTTTTCACCCTTCCATACTATCTTACCTCATTTTAATGTCTAAGTTGTTAACATGCCAGTAAAATTAAAATATTTGATAACATGAAACTTCAAACAACAAATAAGATAAAATTAGCCTTATTCTAATATGGTAGTTTAATTTAATTAACCAATAAAATTAAAGAACAAACTTAAAATAATAAATTATTGAGGGGGCTAAAAATAACGCCCTTCATGGTATATAAATATGGCCTGACACTGTTCATCAAAACAAATAATTTCTTGCAGGGCTACGTGGGCTAAACATAGCCATTTCAGTTAAAGATAGTCTAATAATTACAAAAAAGATCAATAATATGTGATTCTTTATATAGGACTTGATACCGGTGAGTATTAGGCTTAAGCTTAAAAGGTTTGGTTTCACCATGCAACAAAAGTGGCAATCTTTTTTATTTATTTATTTAAACATAAAAGTGCCAGTCTTATTTTAGAAAAATACTTCATGCAATATCTTTCCCTTCAACAAAAGGATTGATCAACATGAGCAGCAAGGAATCACTACACTAAATAATGAACTTGCAAAAACAAATGATCTTATCTAAGGGAAAAATGACAAATGACTTTTTTGTAAGATGAACTTCCACAACAACTTAATGTTTCATGAGAGGCTTACGCTTTCTGGGAAAAAATCGATTTCATGATTCCCTGCAGTCCATATCCAAGATTGATAAGCAACACCTGATAGGGAATTAAGGGCACTTTATCTTTCCCTTCAAAGTTAAAAAACATTTAACAATCTGAAATGATAATCAGCCGTGAAATTCTCAACAATGAATTATCTTTTTTCATATGTGATATATCTCATTGTACAATAACACTGTTTGAACAAACATCCTAAATGGATTATTACATACAAAATTCTATCGTTTGATAATATATTGCAAGGATATCTTTGAAAATTTGAACAATCAGAACTAATGTTCACTCTTTAGGTGATGTTCAACCCTTTGAAGTTCCTCTTTGATGCAGGGCGCATCGGATAGAAACAAAATAAAATGATAGATATGATTGATAGATAGGGTCCACTATCTCCTTGTGCAAGGAGAGGCCTAAAAACCTTATAAACTTTGGTTCTAGTACCAGCCTACAATGTAGACACTAGAAAGAACAAAGCAGCACTCTTAAACAAGAGAAATGCACAAATACAAGATAGAAATCTCTCTAAATATTTCATTCACCAACAAAAACTCCAACACTTCATCTTACAGAAGAAATGGTGTTTATAACCATTTTGTAACTTACATTCATAAATTAAAAAGACAATAAACATAAACACACCTAAAAACTGAAAATTACATAAACAAAGTAATCCAATCAGCCAAAAAACGTCCAAAACACCATGTCTATTATTAGGAGCTACTAATGGTTGTTATTAAGTTCTTCTAGTTGGTTATAATCATTCATTTTATCCCAATGATTCAATAAATGTGATGGCCAACTGATCTGCATCATCCTCTCCAGGTTGGAGAAAATTCGCCCTCGAATTTGCATTTCCAGTATTGTCGATGTTCCCTCTATATGAAATGAGGCATTTCACATTGAACACATCGAATATGGCTTGGTAACTTGGTGTCACGATTGAAACAATCAAACTTGGTAATCCAAGAAGTCGGTACACTCCACAAAAGAATAGCCTAGCAACTTCTAAAACATTCGTTGTCTTCTTGTAGGCAATAAGGTGAGCCATTTTGGAAAATCGATCCACCACAACAAAAATTGAGTCTACACCATGCTGAGTAAGAGGCAAACCCTAAACAAAATCCATGCTCATGTCCACCATAGCTGTAATGGATTGCGTAATGGCATGTACAATCCAGCGTTGGTCGCCTTGCCCTTGGAAACTTGACAGATTCGACATCGTTCCGCAAAACGATATACTTCTTTGTGCATAGTAGGCCAGAAATAAGAGAAAGAAACAAGCTCAAAGGTCTTGTCCTTTCCAACGTGGCCTTCATTATGTAACTCTTGTATGATCCTCAATCTCAAGCTAGACTCCGGGATGCAAAGTTGACTTCCTTTAAAGAGAAACCCATCATGGAACACATAATCTGTTCTTCTCGAATAAACTTGTCCCCGAGTTTTGTTTGGTCTTCCTCTATCTTTCGGATACCCAACGAGTACTTGCCACAATAGCCAATTAAGAACCATAAATTTAGCATGCATTAACATATCCAAATAGTACAAAATTCCAAATAATTTCATTGTTCTCCACTTTGTCATATTCCGTTTGGAATTTAATCTTTTCTTGATGACATAAATTGCATTTGAGTGCACATACAATTTCCAGCAAAAATCTTGATATTTTAGACTTTGAAAAGTTTAGACATAATTCGAAAAATGTGAATTTTTTTTTTCTCCAAGTAAAATTTTGTAGCGTGACCAGCAATGAACGATTCTCAAACATAATCATAAAAGTTATATAAATGTAGAATAGATTTTATTGCAAGTACCTTAACATTGAACCCAAATCTTCATCACCATTGCATTCATCCAGAATCATGGCAAAATCCCAATCATCAACACAATGAGTTTCGATTTGCAGAGTAAATTGAATTTTATTAGGTACTGTAATCACAAGCATGCAATCTTCATCATACTCATCATAAATTGGTAGAGAACTCCAATCAACTAAATTATCGATTTCGTAAAAACCTGACAACAGCAACATGATAACCAAATAATCGATTAGGGCTCTGATAACCAACTCATGCAGGGTGCAGTGGATAGAAACGAAATAAAACGAAAAATAGGATTGATAGGTAGGGTCCACTATCTCTTAGTGCGAGAAGAGGCCTGAAAACCCTATAAACTTTGGTTTTAGTACTAGCCTACAACGTAGACACTAGAAAGAACAAGGCAGCGGACTCTTAAACAAGAGAAATGCACAAATATGAGATAAATCTCTCTAAATATGCCATTCACCAACAAAAACGTCCAACTCTTCATCTTACAAAAAGAAATGGTTTTCATAACCATTTTGTAACTTACATTCAGAAATTAAAAGGGCAATAAACATAAAAACACCTAAAATGAAAATTACATAAACAAAGTAATCCAATCAGCCAAAAAACGTCCAAAGCGCCCCGGCTATTATTAGGAGCTACTAATGGTTGTTATTAAGTTCTTCTGATTGGTAATAGTCATTCATTTTATCCCAATGATTCAATAAATGCGCTGACCAACTGATGTGCATCACTCTTTGTATTCACATTTTTTATTTTGTTTTCGTTCACTCTTCTTTGTTTCTTCAAGAAGTTTGACTCCAAATAGGAACTGCAAAAATTCAAATAGTGACCTCTAAAATAAAGGAACAACGAAACCACCACCGAAGCAACCAGTTTCTTTCTTGGGGTGCTCTCTCCCTCTCTCTGGAGGCTAGGGTTTCGTCACCCTACAAATAACGACTTGGTTTTACATGTATGTCAAGGAATTTATCTTTAGTGGCCAATACATAAACCACAAGTTTTCCTTTTCCTCCCATAAACAAACTTCTTTGATTCGTTCTGATTACATTTTATGACACACCCGTACAAAAAGTTAATAGATTTGATAAAAGCTTGCGAGAGGGCCGTGACCACATATATATTTAATATCTTAGAGAAAATAGTAAAAGCAATTTATAACACTGACAGTCTCACAGTAAGCTTAAGCCTATCCAATTAAGTAGAAGAAACTAATTAAACATGATGAAATTAATGTCGTTAAATAATCACAATTCACTCGAAAGCCCACTGGTTCTCCCTACGAATCTTTTCTTCTTCCTCTGGAGTGAAATCGTTCTTGATGTTTAAGGTCGTGCGAATCTGTTCAGGTGTCTTCCCCTTGATCATGTCCGCCACAGTCTGACACGTCAGGTCAAGCAGGCCCTTGATGTCGAGATAGTTTGCCGCCATTATTAGGTCATAGAGAGTGTTCTGGTCGATCTTCATGAACTCGGCGTCCCACTCCTTGACATTCTTCTCGCCGTCAGCCGCAGTAGCCCCCTCATCTTCACTATGCTTCCTGCAGTACTCGATGACCTTCGCAAGGATGGCGCTCGTCACATTTGGCAAAGGAATGGCATTGCCGGCGCACCCGTCCTCCACCATGTGCTTGATGGTCTGCGACTCCATGGCAATCGCCTCTTCCACCTCGAACATCTCGTCGTCGGAGCTCTTTAGGGTTATCTTCTTCTTCAAGTCCGCTGATGATGAGGCCATTGTTGCTCTTTCAAAAATTAATAAGTTTGAGAATACTTGGGAGATTAATATTATTTTCTTCTTTATTAGCAGCTTTCAATTCGCTTTGAGGGTTGATTGAATGCTTTGTGTTTCAAAGGGTGTGAGATATTGGGGGATTTATACTACTCCGTCTGTGTCTAGATCAGAGATCTTTTATCTTGTCCGTGCAGGAAAAGGAGAGCAATTCCTTTTTGTTTCCGGATTAGTATAGTAAATTTAAGAAAATATTCTCATATTACGAATAGGAGAAGTATTCTTCTGGTTTTTTTTTCTTTCGGTGGCCTTCTTTTTCTCTCTGTGTGAGCAGTGGCGATCCAGCGTGGATACGAGAAATTATCTACGAGTGGGCGACGTGTAAACCATCCTGATTTTTTTGAAACATAAGATACCTTTACAAATTAAACCATACTATTATGATTCATACTTTATGGAAGAAACAAGGCTACAAGCTTAATAATTTGCCACAACAAATTTTAAATATGGAAAATGTCACATTGTAGGTTCATTTGCAGTAGTAGTAACTGTAGAATACTTTTGAATTTTTCTTTCAAATGATAAAAATTAAAAGTTTGGGTACGAAAAACTCTTTTTGTTTTTTTTTTTGTTTTTTGAACTACAAACAGTCCACCACTTGCATGAAAAATTCTGAACGAGATGGATTGAAGAGGAAGGGTCTAAGCATCAGGGCAATTTACCACTTGCATAAAACACTCTTTATACTGTTTTGACAGTGTTAAGGTAATTTATAATATTTTTTTGTTATAAATGTTAGTGTTGGTGGGTTAAATTATTAGTTGTTAAGGAAGAGGGAATCAAACGAACTAAGCACGCCAGTGGAGTGCAGAGTCAAACAAACTAAGCATAACCAAGGAGAAAGGGTAGATCCAACGTTTTTCAAAAGTCTAGTTGGAAGCTTGTGTTACTTGACTTGCACAAGACCATACATTCTCAATGTCATTGGATTAGTCAGTGGCTACATGGAGAATCCCATAATTACGCATTTGAAGACTGGCAAAAGAATTCTTTGATACCTTAAAGGTACTATTTACTTTGGCTTGTTCTATTCAAGTTCTGATAACTACAAACTTGTTGGTTATAGCAACAACGATTGGGCAGGAGATTCTGACGATAGAAAAGCACTACCGGATTTGTTTTCTTCATGGGAGACACTGCATTCACATGGATGGCGAAGAAGCAACCAATTGTCACACTATCTACCTGTGAAGTTGAATACGTAGCTGTGGAGCCAAAAATAATCACAATGTGACATGTGGATCTTTGGATAAAAAGGACAAGAATACCCTTGAGACACATCAGGATTCCTACGCACAACAGCGGGCAATCATCCCTCAACCAAGTCAAAAGTGCCCAAAATAGGTAATAATTCAAAACCTATTTCATCCATCCTCATCAAATCCTTTCCACAAGGTAACTCCAAAATCTTTCCCTTTTTATTATACTAATTAGCTAATCAATTAGGCAATTATTCTATTAATTGGCTAATTAATTTGTTAATTATTCAATTATGCCCAATTAAACACAAATCAAGAACCTAGTCCACAAAGAGAGCCAAGTGGCAGATCCTCTCTCACCCAAGGAGGCCAGCCACACCCCTATAAAAGCCCTTTCATTCTCTCCAAAACCCAATTCCAATTCTCTTGCTAAATTCTCAAAATTCTTCAAATACTTTTCTCTCAAAATTTTAACTTTGGCATCGGAGGTTCTTTGGCCAATATGCCCCCCTCCCAATTCATCATGAGCGTATGAGGCTCTTCCTTGACCTAAGGTGTTATTGGTTTTGTAGGTGCAATTTTGTCCAAGATAATTTGTATCCACAGTAGTTGTTACCGCATACGTCTGTCATGCAATTTGGTTGAGAAACTTGCTGATATAATTAAGCATGCCACAAGATAAGCCAACAGAGATCTATGTTGACAACAAGTCTGCAATAGCTCTAGCAAAGAATCCAGTAATCCATGATAGGAGCAAACACATAGATACCCGCTATCATTACATAAGAGAGTGCATTGCAAGAAAGGATGTGCAAGTGGAATACGTGAAGTCTCAAGACCAAGTCACCGACATATTCACCAAGCCACTCAAACAAGAAGACTTTGTCAGACTATGGAACTCAATCGGCATCACAAGACAAGATTAAGGGGGGATGTTTAATAGTAATCTTGTCTTGGCCCATGACGAGATACAACCCATAATGATAGGCTAGAGTATGATCCATGCAATTGCTAGAAACTTTTAGCAAGTTATGTTGGTATTGTAGTTGAAAAAATCTAGCAATATTATAGATTTATAAAAAGACCTAGAAAGCAGCAACTTCTGTAGCTGGGCAATTCCACCGACTTGATAAGTCGGCTATGCTTGCCTATAAATATAGGTGACTGTTGTGATCGAACTAAGAGAGCAAGAAGTGAGAAAAAGAGTGAAGAAGTGTGAGAGTGTTTGAATGTTTCCTCTTGTATTAGTATGTTGTGAGAGTAAACATAAAATTTTATGTAATACTTTGAGTGTTCTTTCTTTCTCTTGCCTATCAATTATGCTGCATGACATTCTTCTTTGTGAGATAAACATCTCCAAAGTAGTGAAGTCTTTTTAAGCCCCAACAAAGTGGTACCAAAGCTATGGCTAGCAACGATATGGCAGCCTTCCAAGTTCCAGTGATCAACAACATCAACTTCGATAATTGGAGTATCAAAATGAAGGCCTTTTTTGGGAGCACATGATGTGTGGGAAGTCGTGGAAAATGCTACACTACGCCAGAAGATGAAGCTACTATGTCCTAACCTTAGAATGAGAGTTTGAAAGATTCAAGAAAGAGAGACAAGGAGGCTCTCTACCTCATCTACCAAGCATTAGATGACAATGGCTTTGAGAAGGTCTCAAGTGCAACCTCCGCCAAGCAAGCATGGGAGAAGCTTTAAACCTCTTACAAAGGAGCCGAACAAGTGAAAAAGGTTTGTCTTCAAATATTAAGAGGTGAGTTCGAATCTCTACAAATGAAAGAGTTTGAATCAATCTTCGATTATTTCTCAAGAGTCTTAGCCGTTTCCAATTAATTAAAAAAAATGCTGAAAAATTGGAAGATGTTAGTATTAAGGAGAAGATACTATGCTTGTTGGACCCCAAATTTGAGTACATTGTCGTGACAATTGAAGAAACCAAAAACTTGGAAGAAATTACTATAGAGCAATGAATAGGTTCACTGCAAGCATATGAACAGAAACATAAGAAGAGGCAAGGGAATGATGAGCAGCTATTCAAGACACAAGTCCAGCCAAATAAGAAAGAAGAAAGCTTCAACAACGAGAGAAGCCAATACGAAAGAAGTCGTAGCCGAGGTTGTGGACGTGGTTGGAACTTCAACAACCATAGTAACTACGAAAGAGGAAAAAACTCAACAAAAGGTGGTGGAAGAGGACGCTCAAACTTGAGGTATGTAAAATCTCAAGTTCAATGCTACAATTGTCAAAAGTTTAGGCATTATGCTTGGGAATGTAAAGCTCCAAGCAACATACTTGATGAGAAGGTCAATTATGTGAAAGAAGAGAAAGAAGAGAATGGCATTGTGCTACTAGCATGCAAGAACAATGATGGAGACCAAGACTATACATGGTACTTTGACACCGGCGCTAGCAACCATATGTGCGGAAGAAGCATATTCATAGAGCTTAATGAATCAGTGAGTGGCAACGTTTCTTTTGGAGATGAATCCAAAATACCCGTAAAAGGAAAAGGTAACATCCTTATTCCCCTGAAAAATGGCGGTCACCAAGTAATTTATGTGGATTTAAATTTCTTCCTCCTTGTTCTTGGACAAAATTGCACCTACAAAAAAAATAACACCTTTGGTTAAGGCTAATAGCCTCACGCACCCATGATGAATGGGGGGGGCTTTGGCCGAAGAACCTCTGATGTCAAAGTTAGAAAATTGAGGGAAAAATGTTTGGAGAATTTAGAAAATTTTAGCAAGAGAATTGGAATTGAGTTTTGGAGAGAATGAGGGGGTTTATGTAGGGGAGTGGCCGGCCACTTGGATAGTTTTGTGGGCTAGGTTCATGATTTGTGTTTAATTGGCTAATTAATTGAATGATTAATCAATTAATTTAGCTAATTAATATAATAAGAAAGGAATGATTTAGGGGTTACCTTGTGGAGAAGATATGATGAGGGATGGATGAAATAGTTTATAAATAAATACCTATTTGGGCACTTTTGACTTGATTGGAGGATGATTGTCCACTGCTCTCGAGTAGGAATCCCGGTGTGCCTTGAGAGTAATTTTGTCCTTTTTACCCAAAAATTCACGTGTCGTCTCTTGAATATTTTTGGCTCCACAAATGCCCCCACACCTGTTGGGCTGGTCGCAGAAAAGGGTAACAGATATAGAGATTTTCTTGCTTTAGGAAACTTAGGCTTGTTTCCTATTTTGATGTAGATTCCCTCTTTGATAGGAAATTAGATCCTTCTAGGGAAATGAATAAATTTCTCTCAAAGCCTATTTAAGACCACCTTAAGTGGATTATTAAATCAACTTTGGAGAGCGATTTATTCTACCTTACAAGAGAGAGAGAGCTTAGAGGATATTTGTTCCCCCTCCTCTAGCAATCTCCTACATCTTGCCCTTGCAAAGGATCGTCTTTAGTTGCTTGCTACGTCTTCTTGTTGCTTCTAGGTAAGAAAAAAATTAATTTTCTCGTCTTCATAATTTTTTGGAGCCTTGGGGCTTGAATTTGGCTCGACGGGGGTCGAGGAGGTGTGAGAAACTGACTTGGGAAGTCGCGGCAAGGTGGTGCCTTGTGTGGCTTCGTTTGATTTAGGCGCTGGGACACTGGTGATGGGCCGTAAGGCCTGTAGGTGAGAGAAGGCAGGCCAGGCAATGGGGCTTGGCATGGTTCCTGCGGCTTGTGCCTTCACCTTTTTTTTTTTAAGCTGGGCTTGAGCTCGTGTTCAAGAGAGGGGAAGGGTGAGGCCGAGAGTCATCTTGAGCCTTAAGGCCTGTTTATATTGTGCCCTTTTTTTTAGGCCGAGAGCTGCTCATTTTTT